ATCTAACCGATAGATTGAAAGTTCATATCACTTTATATGTTTATATCAATTTTTGTTAAAATTAAACAACAACTTAAAAGTAATCAAAGTACTCATATTTTATTTGAAATGTATATATTACGTCAATTTTATTTTACAAGAATGAAGTATCAAATCATTTTGAACTCATATAAGATTCTGTATATATGATCTACGAGTAAAAAACTTTCAATCTACCGGTTGAATTTATAAAATTCACATTTAATATAAAGTTATTGAGCGATGTAATACTTAGTAAAAGTTACACCGATGTTATTATAACCCTTCTCTTTTAAAATATTATTTTTATAAATTGAATTTTAACATTTTAAATAAATTATTAAATAACTTAATATATTTATTCATCTTAAATCTAAGATATAAAATTCAAAAAATGTATTTATCCTTGTTTTATTTTCTAATTATCAACCATTAATAAAATACTAATTTAAAATCTTATCTAGTTATATCATAATATTTTCATATCAAGTTTAAAACCAGATATTAGTTATAAAATATGTTCGCTAATTCCGTTGCTAATTTTAACTAATATTTAGCGACCGAATAGAATGACATCGCTAATTATAACTAATATTTAGTGATTGAATTTAATTCTGTCGCTAAAAAAATCAAAATTTCTGATTTAGAGACCGAATTCAATTTCGTCACTAATTTTAACTAATATTTAGCGACCAAATTTAATTCCGTGGCTAAAAAAATCAAAATTTTTATTTAGCGACCGAATTAAATTCCATCGCTAGCTATTAGTTATATTTAGCGACCGAATTTAATTCGGTCGCTAAATTTGACTAATATTTAGCGACCGAATCCAATTTCGTCGCTAAATTTAACTATTATTTAGCGATCGAATTCAATTCTGTCGCTAATTTTAACTAATATTTAGCGACTAAATTTAATTCTGTCACTAAAAAATCAAAAGTTCTAATTTAGCGACCGAATTCAATTTCGTCGCTAAATTTAACTACTATTAGCACGAAATTCAATTTCGTCGCTAATTTTAACTATTATTTAGCTACCGAATTAAATTCCGTAGCTAAAAAAAACTCAAAATTTATAATTTAGCTACCGAAATAGCGACTGAATTCAATTCTGTCGCTAAATTTAACTACTATTGTCGCTAACTTTTAGCTACTATTTAGCGACCGAATTAAATTCCGTCGCTAAAAAATCAAAATTTATAATTTAGCGACTGAAATAGCGACCGAATTCCATTTTTTTGCTAAATTTAACTACTATTTAGCGACCGAATTCAATTCTGTCGCTAATTTTAATTGATATTTAGCGACCGAATTAAATTCCGTCGCTAAAAAAATCAAAATTTATAATTTAGCGACCGAAATAGAGACCAAATTTAATTCTGTCGCTAAAAAAATCAAAATTTATAATTTAGCAATCGAAATAGCGATCAAATTTAATTCTGTCGCTAAAAAATCAAAAAATTCTTATTTAGCGACTGAAATAGCGACCGATTTTCTAACGAAGACTTATTTTGGTCGCTAAATCAGTCGCTATTTTGATTTTTCATAATCGGTCGCTAAATAGCGACTGATAAATTTTGGTCGCTAATTTCGATCGCTATTTTGCAATTTTCTAGTAGTGACTCTACTAATTTTCAAACTATAAAATTAGATTCTTTTTCTAATATCACACATATTGCTGATTTTGATCGATTTTTGTTTGACATACCTGCTACTTCTTCTATTCCCACTCAACATGAAAATCATAATAACAACATCACCATTGATGATACTATATATTTTTGAAAATTCTATTTACAATGAGAATCCAATTAGAAAATCTACTGGAATTTGTCGACCACCTGCATACTTACATGAATTTCATTGTAACATTGCAAATTTTATTGATCTTGATCACACTCCCACCACTGCTTATCCTTTATCTTCATATTTGGATTATTCTCTTTTATCTTCTACACATAAACATTATACTTTGGCCATCTCCGTTATGGATGAACCTAAAAATTATAAACAAGCCATTAAATTTGAGGCTTGCACTAAGGCCATGCAAGATGACACCTAACTCTTAATTAGAATGCTACTTGGGAGTTGGGATGTTATTCAACTACCTCTTGGTAAGAAACCCAATGGATGTTAATGGGTTTATAAGGTTAAACTTAAAGTGGATGGTACCTTAGAGAGATATAAAGCTCGATTAGTGGCACGTGGCTTCACCCAAACTGAAGGCATTGATTACTTTGATACCTTTTCCCCTATAACAAAGGTCACTACCATCTAGATGGTTTTGGTAATTGCGGCTACGAATAATTGGTTCTTGCAGCAACTTGATGTTCAAAATGTTTAATTTTCTGGATGGTAAACTTGATGAAGAGGTCTACATGGAACTTTTTCTTGGCATTACTCTGACACAACCCAACCAGGTTTGCAAACTAAAGAAATCTATATATGGTTTGAACAGTCCAACAGACAATGGTTTGCTCAACTGTCCTCTTCCCTTCTATCTCATGGTTTTAATCAATCTTCATCTAATTATTCATTATTTTTTAAACATAGTCATCATTCCTTTACTATTTTACTTGTTTAGGTGGATGCCTTGATTCTTGCAGGAAATAATTTGCATGAGATTGATGCTATTAAACATTTTCTCAATCAATAATTTAAAATCAGAGATCTTGAAAATTTAAAATATTTCTTAGGATTAGAAATTACCTGATCAAAATATAGTTTACATATTTGTTAAAGAAAGTATATGCCTTGACATTCTTTTAGATGCAGGTCTTTTAGCTTCATAACCTACCAATATATAGATGACTTATATGAAGATTTTTATACCTCACATTAACAAGGCCTGATATTAGTTTTTTTGTCCATCAACTTAGCCAATTCATGAGCTGTCCTACAACTACTCATCATCAAGTTGCAATGTGTGTTCTATGTATCTCAAAGCTACCCTAACACATGGACTTTTTTATTAAACCAATTTAAAGATACAACTCAAAGCTTTTTTAGACTCTGATTAGGTTAGTTGCTTAGATACTCATCAGTCAACAACTAAATTTTGCATTTTTCTTGGAGGCTCTTTAATTTCTTGGAGTTCAAAGAAATAAACTACAATATCAAAATCTTCCTCAAAGGCTGAGCATAGAGCTCTAGCAACCACTGTGTATGAGATTCAATGGTTTACTTACATTCTTCAAGAATTGAAGCTCAATTTTGTTTCACCAGCTTTCTTATACTGTGACAATCAATCTGCCCAATAGATTGATACAAATCCAACATTTCATGAGCGTACCAAATACATTGAAATAGATTGTCACATTGTTCGAGAGAAATTGAAATCCAAACTTTTTCATCTTCTACCAATCTCCACCATTGATCAATCAAAAAATATCTTGACCAAACCTCTACACCTTCATCTTTTCCATGCTTTGTTGTCCAAGCTAAAAGTGAACTTTATCTACTCTTCGGCTTTTGGGGACGGGGGTATTGGAGTTAACAAATAAGTCTATTAGTAATTAGTTATTTTTTCTATTTTTAGTTTGCTAGTTTCACTTGGTCAACTTCTATTAATGACTCTATCATATTCCTTACTTATATATGTATATATGGTCCCCTCTCTTTTGTAATTTTAATCAATCAATTAATAATACATGCCTTCTTTCTCTACACACTCTGATAATACAAATAGAGAAAAATTGACATTTTATATATAATCAATATTTTATTTATATATAAAAAATTATTTATTAAAAATAAATAATTACAAATATTATATAATCAAATATATAAAATTTATTATATAACTTATATTTATTTAATTCATTTAAAATTATATAAATATTTGTATGATTAAAAATCTATTTTAATTATAAAGTATATATATATACAATTTAAATTGAATCAATATATATTACTCCATAATTGATTATGGTCTTTTTTTGAAATCATAATGCATCGTGGCACACCATAATACATTATTATAAAAATAAAATAAAATAATAGTAATAAACAACACGTTTTAATTAAGATGTGGTATAATTAGTTAATAACATCGTCCATTAACTTGGTTATGAATTTAATTTTTGATCGGTATGTATGAAAAAATATTAGTTAAAAGAGGTCAATCTCTTAAATAAATTTCAGTATCTTTAAAGATTAATCTTTAATTTTTGACTAAATGATATTTTGGTTTACAAGAAAAACCATACTTTGATTTAAAAAAAAATATTTTTAAATACTAATTGTTAATACAAAAATAAAATCTTCTTTTTTTTAATAAGTAAACTTCCACCTACTAAATGGACTTCTATATACTTAAAAGTTGCAAATTCATGTATGAGTTGGGATTGAACTTCAATCATTGGTTAAGAAGATTTAATATATAATTTGATCATTAACATATTGAATATTCATAATTAGGCTCTTAAAAACTAAAAAAATATAATTATATCTTTTATCTTTTTGTAATTTAGTCTTTTAAGTTAGAATTTTATTTGTGATCCATGTTTATAATATATTCTTAATATTTTCATTGACAATCACATCAAATCATTATTTCATATAATTATTTATGTATATTAGATTTTAATTTTTATCCATTGAAACTCATAGACTAAATCACTAAAATATATGTTGAAGAATAACTTAATTATACTTTTTTGTCTAAAAATTTGATTACAAATTATAAAAAAAAGTCATATACTAAGTGATGAATTAAATCTTTGAAAAAAGTTTGAAATATATTATAGTATAAGCAATAAATGCAAAGGTCACCAATAATAAAAAACAGAAAAATGCAAAGGTCACCGATGCATGGAAGAATATGAGAAAAGAAGTCAAAGAATGTCAAAATACGATATCTTTCATGATATTGAGGTTTTTATTGAAATTTGATAAATATACAAGATTGAGGTTTAGGATTCGGTGGCAGAGCAACGCAACCCAACATTAAAAAAGAGCAAATACCTAACTCCTCAACCCACCAAGAGGCAAGGGAACTACTACACTAAACAAACAAAACGAATTTAGAAATTATACTAATATTTAACGTAAGAGCAAAGTGAGAAGGAACATCTTCATTCGTTTACCATTTACCCACTTTTCTTTACAACCTTGTTCTTTCTTCTGTCTTAGAATGGCAGTCTCACAATCTTCCTGAAACCATGACTGTGAGGGACAGTTATCATTGAGCCCTAACAAAAAAAAAAAATCTTTATTACAAATCACAATTCACAAGGTCTTTGTGGTTGATGGGTAGGAAGGGAATCCAACTATTTGATGAGAAAAGAGATGGGTTTTTCTCTGTCGGCAATTTGGGGTTCCAATTTGATGATGGGTATTATCAGCTCGGAGGTTTGTTTGCCAGCGTTAGTCAAATGGGAATGGGGTTTGATGTGCAACCCAGCGACCCTTCTGATTCGCGCGACAATAGTGGCGTGAAATTTCCATTGAACGAATTGTTCCTAAAGTATGTTCAACCGCAGGGGAAAGATGAGGTTGCTGAGGAAGGGGTTAAGGGAAAAAAGAAAAAGGGTGGTCTTTCACTCAAGCTTAAGATCAGGAACCCTTCACTGAGGAGGTTGTTTAGTGGGGCAATTGCTGGGGCTGTGTCTCGCACTGCAGTGGCGCCTTTGGAGACTATAAGGACTCACTTGATGGTGGGGAGTAGTGGCCATTCCACCACTGAGGTGTTTCACAATATCATGCAAACTGATGGCTGGAAGGGGTTGTTCAGGGGTAATCTTGTCAATGTCATTCGGGTTGCACCTAGCAAGGCCATTGAAGTAATGCATATTTGCTTCTCCAGCCTTTGGTTTTGTTTATCCCTAATATGATATTTGATACTTTGTTTTGTTTGGATAGGTTGGTTTTTTTCTATTTTACCCCCTTGGGTTACTTGATTGATATCATTTTGGTATATTCATTCTGCACTTGTATATCAATCTGCTATTTGCTCAGCGGTTTTGATTCAAAGATTGGGGTTTTTGTATATTCAATTTACTTTGTTCTTGATATGTGGATTTTCATTTTTCAACTATTGTAAAGGGTTGTTTTAGGAACGCCAACGGCGTTCATATTTTCTATGTAAATAAGAGTGTTTACAAGTGTATTGAATCTATGATTTTTGTTTTTTCGATGTTGTTTCCACTGCATTGGAAGTGTTTGGTCTGGTAACTACAAATTTGATGAGTGATTTATTGGATGGTGAGGTCATGATAACATATTTTTTTAAAACTTTTCTTATGGTCTTAGAAAGAGTTGCCAAGAATTAGTGAATTAGATACTTTTTGGTTGTGTACAGATAATAAAAAGGAGTTTCAATGAACTTTTACAAATGCTAAAATGAATTCAATGCACCAAAGCTATTGGGTTATACGTTCTGGATTGGAGCCAGGATGGAATTGTGGATTTAAGCATGTTTTGCCAGAGTCTCTTGTAGATTCAGAGGTGATTGAACATAGGTGTAATGTGATCACCCTTGTGATCCTCTTCTAGAACCACTCCCAACACCTTCAGGCAGCAATGGTGTCTGGAGCTTTGTGATACTGTTAGAGAGGAAAAGAGAGATTCAGATTGGTTTGCTCAGTTCTATCACTCAAGGTTACTTTAAGGGACTGCATCAGATTGTGCTTGATGTCCTCGGGAAGTAGCTTCTTCCACATTAGTACTCTAGTTTGTTTCATTTTCTAGATCTCTGAAACTTTCATGAGCCACAAAAATTCAATTTACTGCATTATTTTTATGTGCAGAGAGAAATATAGTGAGTATTTGCTGATTAGCTGTGTTATTGAACAAGAGATTTACTGTGCAACATTTGTTTTCATGATATTGTCTTCCTTCAACTGTTTGCTCCAATATTTTTGTTTGTCTTATAATCATTCTTTATATCTCTTTTGTGAAAAGGGCAGTTCTAAAGTCAGAATGTCTGTAAGGTGCACAAATTTGTTAGATTCACCCTTGAATTTTAGTGTGTTAAGATTATTGATATACCTTAAATTAAATCAAGGATAAAAATACAGCCTTGTGAAATTTAGAGACGCTCACTTTAATGAGCTTTCTCATATTTTAATCTACCATTTGGTCATGTTTCTTTCTCTGGAATGATCTTCATGACAAATGGTTTGGTTTATTGCTCTCAGAGTTCATTTACTTTTAAGTTTTAATTGGATGCTTTACATTTGCCTTACCCTTCAAATCCTGTAACAGTTGTAGGGCTTAATTTGCTTTGCTTTATGTTGCTAAAGTGCTTTCATATGATGGTGTCTTGTTCTTGTTTTTTTAGGTGGGGGTCTTAAGTATATAAATGGCCCTTCAGGTAAGTCAATGTGCAAGTAAGCTTTAGTTTGATTTTAACAAATTTCTGCATGTGAACTTGTGAATTCAATTCTAGTAACTCAAACAAACCCTTGTACTCTCTTAATCTGGGTTTAGGCCTAAATCAACCCTAAATTTGGTATATAGTAGGAAGGAAAGAAATAAGTAAGAAACATGGTGAATGAAAATAGGTGAGAAATAAAATGAAAATAAAAATATTTGGCTTAAGAAAAATAGAGAAGAAATGGGAAAAAGTGATGTATATAATTACTATTACTAATCATTTCCACTTATTTGAGAGTGGAAATAGAAAAGTATGAGACTCACACCTTTTTTTCCCTCTTGTCTTATTTTCACTCCTCCAAACACCATTCATTATTTATTTTTTCACTATTTCTTCTTCCTCCTCCCTATCTCTTTTTATATGTCAATGCTACCAAACAAAGGGTGAAAACTAGCTCTTAGGGTGAGTATTGTCTCCCACTTACATATATTATTTTAGTTATATCACTAGTCAATGTAAAATTTTCAACACACTCTTTTACATCGAGAATTGGACATTTTGAGCGTGAAGATTGACATCTTAGAATCTTCAACACACCCTCTTACTAATCAATTTAGATGGTCTAGTAACAGGTATTCCTAGGATAAGACCTAATACCATCTTAGAATTTAGGTTTAAGTATAACTTAATCACAAAATCTAGCTTAGATAAAGATGGAGATATTGGAAATCTCACATTAATTATTGATATGACCAAAATAATATGTATAACTAGAAAAAACCCTCACCCCATTGGCCTAATTTTTGGGGTTGAGTTGGGTGTAAACTTAAATTCTAAGATGATATTGGAATCTATCTCGGTCATTGTCATTGGTCTATTAAGCCACCCGTTATAAGATCATTAACAAATGTTTAATCCTACAAACTTTACACATGAGGTGTCCAATCCTTGGTGTGAGGATTGTGTATTAGAGAGATTTCACATTGATTAATGATATGACTAAAATAGTGTATATAAATAAATGGAGTACAACTCTTACCCCATGAGCTAACTTTTGAGGTTGAGTTAGATCTAAATCTAAAGTTTTAGATACTCAAATGACTTCTACTCCCATACTTTGAATATTTGAAAATAGGAAATCATTTGATTTATTAATCAAATTCAATGTTTTGGAGTTGAAGTGATTTGAATTGACTAGATATCAAATCTTATGTTTGGACTTTGTTGAAAATTGAATTGATTTGGTTTCACTTTATTCTTGGTTACTTAGTGAGAATAAAATGGTTAATCTATATAATTGAATTTAAAATCAAATTAATTTCCACCAATTTCTACCAAATTAGGGGGAAAAAAGCAATGAAATGTGTGGGATTTTTGAAATCAAATCATTTATGTGCATGAGTGCTGATGTTTAACAATTCTATAGGTGCTTATTAGTATGGTTTTTGATGACCATGGCTTTTAGTAACAGTTATTAGTCTTCTCAGAGAATATTTTCTTTAAGGCTAATGATTTCACTCCAGGTTAACCAACCAGGATGAGCATCCTTTATTTGATTTAGGGATAGACCGATAGAGTACTAATCCACACACATCATACAAGATCCATTTTTGCATTGAAGGAGTATTCTAGATGTTTTCAGAGAAGAGAAACATAAATTCTTAATTTAAACTCCCGAGGTTTGGAAATTTTACACTTTTTGCTTCACATTTTCTTTTCTAACCATTCTTGCATGAACAAGAAACCGTCATTGATACTATCTGATTTAACAGAAAAAAACATCCTTTTCGTGCTCATCAGTGCTGTATTGGAGAATCATGCTTCTAAATGCAAAAGGCATTAAAAATCTCAGAGATCTAATCTACTTGATAGTTTTCATGTATCTCAAACTATTTTCACCTTTTTTGCAGCTATTTGCTTACGACACAGTGAACAAGAACCTATCTGCAAAGCCTGGGGAGCAGCCCAAAGTCCCGATTCCTCCATCATTGATTGCAGGTGCCTGTGCCGGAGTGAGTTCAACTATATGCACATATCCTCTTGAATTAGTCAAGACTCGACTAACTATCCAGGTATGTACAAAAATATATACACAATATCCCATCTGAAAACAAAAGGGAAAACTTAAGCTTGATTATTGATTTTGCAGAGAGGTGTTTATGATGGTATGCTTGATGCATTCTTGAAAATAATTCAAGAAGAGGGTCCCTCTGAACTTTACAGAGGCCTCACAGCTAGTCTTATCGGAGTTATCCCGTATGCTGCTACCAATTACTTCGCCTATGACACTCTAAAGAAAGCATACCGGAAAGTTTTCAAACAAGAGAAGGTCGGCAACATAGAAACTCTTTTGATTGGCTCGGCTGCTGGTGCCATTTCAAGTAGTGCAACTTTTCCACTTGAGGTGGCTCGCAAGCACATGCAAGTTGGAGCTCTCAGTGGAAGGCAGGTTTACAAGAATGTGATTCATGCCTTGGCATGCATACTAGAACAAGAAGGGATCCAAGGTTTGTTTAGAGGGCTAGGACCTAGTTGCATGAAGTTGGTACCAGCTGCTGGAATCTCTTTCATGTGCTACGAAGCATGCAAGAAGATATTGCTAGAAAACGAAGAGGAGGATTAGGATGAGTCAAAGAAATTACTTCTTTTTCATTGAGGTCAAGAGGCGGAACTGCATACTCTGTTTATGCATATTGAATAACTTATCTTGGCTTTCTCTTATATTACTGAATTCTTTTTCCCTCACAAATCACATTTATAAGCAATTGAGAATGGAACATTGGTTTTGTGGTTTTTATATCTTGGCATTTCATTGTGTCTTGGCGTAACTGCTCATCTTCAATTGTAATCCAATTGTGAATTTAACTGTATACTAATCACTGATCATTGGCTTATTTAAAGGTGCTCATTTTCTAATGAAGTCAATTTTTTTTAGCATAAGCAGTAAGTATGCAGGTACTTATTTCGTTATACGAGAAAGTTCCCAGTAGCAAGAAATTAAGAGTTAAGTGATGTTAAACACAAACTTGAATAACGAATAGCATCAAAATTGTATTTTACTAAATCCTGGAGAAATCGTAATCGCAACAAGCGACTACCTATTCCAGTGTCAGTTGTAGCAGAATGCAGAAGATTGTTTATTTGTTTTTATGTTTGATTAAAGGCCTCAAACAAAGGTAATAAAATAAACATTTCAAAGAGGCCAATCTACCATGGCTTTCTGAACACGTTGCTATCCTTGTTCCTCCCATGGCGACAGCAGAGGTATTGACTCCAGTATTCACGATATAATGACGTAAACCCAACGTCAAGACATGATTCTTAAAAATTTCAGCAACAGTTACAAGTAAACGTAAAAAATGTTATTTGTATATAATATGTAGTCATTTTTATCAAGACTTTTAATAAAAAAAAATATTTATAGATTATTTAACTGTTCTTCTAATCACGATAACAACCATATTGAAAAATAATTTGGCTTCCACGTAAGGTAGTCTAAGGATAAAGAAAAATAATAAAGTAAGAAAATAATATAACTTTATTTTTCAATACAAAGCATACCTTTAATTTATTGAATATGACTTATATTTAAATATATTGAAATATCTGAATAAAAATAATATTCCATGGTTTTAAGGTTTTTTAATAATTATTGAAGAATAAAATCTAAAACTAAAAATCAAAATTGTTTTGACAACATCTTAAAACACATTCACAACACTCCTCTTTACATTAGAGGCCACAAACTCTTGTGTTCATTCTTCAAAATTTAACCTATTGACTTATAATGACTTGGTAAAGACATCAACAATCCAATATTTTGTTCTAGAAAGTTCTTCTCCTACTGAAATAATTTGCTTCTTTCTCATATGATTAGGCCTTAGAATTTTCAACTTCCAACTTTCAATTTTTTAGTCAACTTTTGAATTTCAAACCTCATTGATAATATTTTTGTATCATAACTTCATATCTTTATTCAACAACTTTCAACTCTAAATTTATAATTTTTAAACACCTCTCGCTATGCTCAATTTTTGTAATTTTCCCCTTCATTTCATCTTCTTTTCTAGCTAAAGTTTTAGAAAATTCTTTTCTTAAAGCATCTTCCCTCAATTGCACTTGCTTGTTTGTGCACTCTTGCATAATAATTACTCTCTCTAAAGCATATTTCCTTTCTTTGACGGTGACATCATATTTTTGCTCCCACTCATCTACTTCCTCTTTAGCCAATTGAGTTTGTTCCTTTGTTGTTATTAACCCTACTTCAACATCACCACTCTAGGACTTGGGGATTGCTATTTAAAAATCACTTTGTTCTTCTTTAGCATCTTGTCTCTTTTGCCATAATTCAGTGATATTCTCTTTTACTGAAAAGGCAATTTGCTTCTCCTCCAATAGATTTAAAGCAAAACTTTTTTCTCATTTTTACTTTAAAAATATTTTTGTCATTTTTATCTTTAATCAAGCAACTTTTTGAAACACACATTATAATCTTTCTTAACTAGTTGTCCAACACTCAACAAATTCTGATCAATTTTAGGAACATGCAACATATTAGAAATGAACTTTGTACTTAAGTAGATTAAGATTGCTATTGTTCCTTTTCCATTCACAACAATGTACTTGCCATTTCAAACCTGAACCTTTGATGTGCTTACATTGCTTAATTCCTTGAATAGATTCTTATTGTTTGTCATGTGGTTAGTGCAACTACCATCAATAAGCCAATTTTCATTTGATCCCATGCTAAAGAAACATGATGACAAATAGGTAATCCTCCTCCTATTGATTAATAGCCTTTGCCTCTTCACCATGTGATTGACTCTTGTTTCTACATATAACAACTTCATAATTTGATTACACTCACTACACTTAGCATTGGGTCTCCTCCAGCATCTAAATGGAGGATGACCTTTTTTTCTATCGTGTTGACATGGTGCTTATCTTGATCTACCTTCTAAACTTTCTTCCTAATCTTCATTCCATTTTTTCTTTTTTTTTGTTCTTTGATTGATATGCAATTTTGCCTACAAAGCTCCTTTAATTGTGCTTTTTTTTTTTGTCTCATGATTCTTCTTTGCTCTTGACCTTGTAAAGCACTCAACACTTTTGCCAAGAAAATAGATGTCAAATCTTCAGAGGTCTCTAAAGAAGAGATTGTGGACTCAAATCTTTGAGAAACTGTAACTAGAATTTTCTAGACAATTCTAGAGTCTTCGAACTTCTAGCCAAACAATCTAGCTCGATTTGCAATGTTGAGAAGTTGAACAAAATTCTCCACAGTTTTTGACTCCTTCATCCCTTGCATTTCAAACTTCTTAATCAAGTTAAGAACTTTCATCCCTTTGATCCTATCATCTTCATATCCCTTTGATTCTAATAAAAATCTCTTGTGATACAACATTAAATAAACACACTTTGGTCTTTGCTTTCCTTTGCTTGTGTTCTTTTTGAATTTTTAATTGTAGGGTGTTTTAAGTAAAGGAGGAATTGCATAATCCTCCTCTATGACTCCCCAAAGATCTATGGCCTCTAGATAGGATTGCATCTTAATTTCCCATCGAAAACTAGAGGTGCAGCAGCAACTGAGGTGTAGCAATTGAGTTTTCAGTTTGTATATTCATTCTAATTTTTGAACTTTATATAGTAGACTCTCAATCTAAGTCGGTCCTTTAAGAAGAAAGGCTCTTGATACCAATTGTTGGTTTTAGTCTAAGAATAAAGAAAAACAACAAAAATAAAGAAACAATATAACTTTTTTTTCAACACAAAGCATACCTTATTTTATTGAATATAACTTATATTTAAATACATTGAAATAACTAAATAAAAATAATACTCCATAATTTTAAGAGTTTTTAATAATAACTGAAGAATAAAATTTGAAACTAATTGATCCACTAACAACACAATAACATTTTTATCAATTAACTAATTGACTTATCTATCTATTTTCTGTGATGGTCCCACCTCCACCATGTCATCCCCAAATCCTCCAAATATTCACCTTCAATAATTGTGACTTTTGTGTCGAACCCAAATCTTGAAGGTATGAGTAAATCTTTCCTAAATTTTTGCTATCACTTTGGCATTCAGAATTTTTATCTCTATTATAATGTCAACATCTCCAATATGAAATAACACCAAAATTAAGGTTGTATGAGTAATTTGGGATTACGAGATTCATTTCAAATGAAAATAACTTGATTTATAAAAATAAAGTTAATATTTTTTTTACTTTGTTTGCCCTCTTGCTATTTTGTGGCTTAGTCACTAAATCCGCACAATTTCCTCTTCATGTATGACTACCAAATATTATGAAAGAGCTTATTTCTATTTTCTCCTTATAATCATGTTGTGATCTTGTGATATTTTTACCCAATAATGATCAATTACTTACTTTGCCATAAAAAATTTTGAAAAAAATATTATTTTTACACATGTATTACACAATCAAAATTAAGACACATGAATATTAATTGACTAAAAAATAAGATAATTTGTAGTTACTCAAATCTATGTATAACAACATATGTGTAGCATTGAAACTATTTGTTATCTGAAAATTTTCATATTAGATAAATTCCTTAAATTATGATATATATATATATATATATATATATATATATATATTAATAACCCTTATTTTTTGGTATTTTAGCATGAATTAAATTTAATTTTACCTTATGTACTATATTTCCATAATTTTGTATGGATTTTTTTTCTTGAAATGATATGTTAGACTTTTCAGGGCAAGTAAATTTCTAAAATTATTATTATATTTTTTTAATATTTAAGAAAAATTAAATTCTTTTTTACCTCACGTACCATATTTCTCTAATTTTGTAGGAATTTCTTTCTTATTTGTATTAAGATTTTTTAGCCCGATTTTAACCAACAATTTTGTTTCAAGAATGAACATATAAAAAAATGTTTTCATCCTTAGATATACTCATATACTGCAACGAAGCAGTGCAATAGGATTAATAGACGAGTCAAAGGCAAAAGAATTAAAAATCATTGTTGAAAGATCATTGATCATTTTTTTAATCCAAATTAAAATAAATTTTTAATTATAATTTTATGATGAATATTTAACTGTTAATTAAATTACAAACATAATTAGATACCGACTTATTATATGTGTTTAAATATAATTTATAATTATCAGTTACTAATTATCAATTATAATAATTAAATGTAATTTATAACTATCTGAATATATGTATGTTTTAAAATTTTATTATGATAATTGTCTACCTTGATTTTTCTATTAAAATATTTAATACAAATTTTAATTTCATTATTGTACGTTTTTTTGTGTGATACTCTTAATATTTTTTTTTTCAAAATTAATTTAAATTAAAAAAATCAAATGTATACTTTTATAATATTTCTTAACTTAAATTCTATCAATGTAATTTCAATAAAAAAAATATAATTTAATAATTTTAAAACAATCATTTAAAATATATTAGAAATATTTGTTTATAATTGTATATTGTTATTAAATTTATTTTTATATCATGTATCGTAATATAGTTTTCGATAAGAATTTCAGTACATTCAATATTTAATAGATTTATACTTTTGAACTATTTGAACTTTATCTATATATATATATATATATAATTCATCCAATATTTTTTTATCATATTTTTATGTCAAATTATATAATACATAAGTTAGATATTTTCAAATAAATGTTATTATTTTAATTTCAAATGTTAATTAACGTAATTATTTTATCTTAAATATAACATACATATGACCACGATTCAATATATATTTAAATAA